GGTTCTGTTGCTGGAGCCATTTGAAAGTGCAGTCCAGCAACTGTGCCATTTGCTGACTGTGTGGCCTTAGAAGAGTTACTCAACTTCTCTGGTCCTTGATGCAGAATGGGATGGTGGTGGCTGGAATAAAGAGTAGACTGTGAAAATGATCACAGTCCTTTACTTCTGTCCAGACATTTGCCATTTGCTATGGCCTTTACCGTCCTGCCCATCAAAAATTGATTCCCGATTCCCCTCCTTCCCAGAATCCGGGGTTAGCTACCTCCCATCACACACTGGGTCAGCATGTACCCACTGACAGAAGTTGCGCACTATACTGCTTAGCTAGCAGGGTTTTCAGACCTCCTGGGTGGAACAGGACAGCTGCAGCCTGCAGTCTGCAAAGGTAGATGCATGGCTCTGGAAAGGGATAGTGGCAGGAAGGACTCACTGCATACATTCTGCACACCTCCTCTCCTCCACATATCACTGCTGACCTTTTCAGAGTGCAAATGTCTGCTGAAGCCAGAGCCACCAGGTCTCGCTGGAGCTGGATTACAGGTGGTTATGAGCAGGTGCTGGGAACCAAACCTGAGTCCTCTGCAAGAGCAGCACATGCTGTTAACTGCTGAGCCATCCCTCCAGCCCCTTCACTGTTGAGTATTAAGGACACTTGCATTCTTAGTATAGTCTGGACACAAATACTTTGTTAGGTATACATATAGATATTTCATCTGCAACTTCCTTTTACATAAGGTATCTTTAATTTTTTTTACATATTCATTTATTTTGTGGAAGGTGTGCCTGTGTGTGTGTGTGTGTGTGTGTGTGCGCGCGCGCGCGCTCATGTCATAGTATGCACACGGAGGTGAGAGGACAGCTCTCTGGAGTCAGTTCTCCCCTTCTACTGTGCAGATTCCAGCAACTGAACTCAGGTCATCAGTCTTGTTAGCGGGCACCTTTATCTGCTGAGCCATCTCTCCAGACCTTGATGGTATCGTTTGAAGAGCTGAAAGTCTGGATTTGTATGAAATCCAATCCATTTTTTTCTTTTATGTTTAGTGCTTTTTATTTTGTCTTACATTTTTTTCCCCACTGCAGGCTCATAAAACATCTCCTGATCTCTTCTGAAGTTTTATGGTCTTAGCTTTTAGCTCTATGACTCACTTAAAATCAATGTATGTACACCGCTGATGGCTGAGGGTTCATTTTCTCGCCTTAAATAGCAAGTCGCTCCACCACTGTTTGAGAAGATTCCTTGTGGACTCGCACCAGGAACTCCGTTGGGATCCAGGTGTGATTCTGCTCTGCTCCTTTGTCACAGAGCTCCTTAAACTGTGGGCAGTGACCCCTTCTGCCATGCCACATAGCTCAGTGTGGGACCTTCAGAGATTTCGGTAACAGTAAGAGGTTTCTGAATACCCAATGACCCAAATTGATTCAGACTCATCCCTGCAATGAATCCAAGGCGTTTCTGGCAGTGACAGTGTGTGACATAGTGTGACTTTCACTGCAGCCTGGCTCTGAGCACACACCATGCACATTTACACAGGACTTCCATCACACTCTGCCACACCAGGGAACCCCATTTGCAACACTTTGGACCATATCTGAGATTACCGTAAGATGTGATGTCAATCATGCTGTTTTCACTGTGCAGCAAAGGTTTCTGCTCTGATGGAAAGTTAATGATTTAATTGCAGAAACCATTCTGAGATTTCCCTGCCACTGTGACTCTGCATGAAAGTAACACGTTGGTCTTTAGATTGCCTTGTGCTAGAATGTCTGGTTTTAAAAATAACTGTTTGAGTTGCTAACTTGAATTTTTAACTGTATTTTATTTTGTTTTTGTTCTTGAGACAGGGTTTCTCTGTGTAGTCCTGGCTGTCCTGGAACTCTCTCTGTAGACCAGGCTGGGCTTCGACTCAGAGATCTGCCTGCCTCTGCCTCCTCAGTGCTGGGATTAAAGGTGGGCACCGCCATTGTCCAGCTTTGAAATTTTATTTAAAAATAATAATAAAAAAAAAAAACTTCAAATGAACTTTGGCTTGGAATTGGCAGACTTTCCAGTGAGTCCTAAAACTATTTTTCTGTCATTTTGTACTATGTATTTATAGGAAGGGATGTCCTCAGAATTGATGATTATGAAAATAAAGTATGAATCATTGCTGAACAGTGTTGAAGATCCTCTGCACCCTGTAGTACCAAATCTTCAGCCAAGATTGAATTCTTTAAGTAAAAATCAATGAGCAATCCATCTCATTGGTGTGCAGATTTGCTCTGGGCATCAACAGATGTTACAGTTATATATATACAAAATAATCATTGTCAAATAAACTTCTTTATGACCTGTTACCATAAGTGCTTTATTTGTGTGTCTGTTTTATTCGCCTATATACCCAGGGCCAGATAGAGAATTCCCAGGTATGAAGGGGTCACAAGTGGAGAAGTTGAAGACTCACTCCAACAAGTCGACATGATTTGGGCAGCTGAAAACCATGGAGGCCCCTAATCGAGGCGGTGGCCAGCCTTGCCCCCTCCAAAAGTCTCATGGGGAGAGTCCTTCCCCCCTGTCTTAGCCCCTGGTGGCCTCAGGCTTTCCATGGCTGTCTCCCCTGGGTCTTGTGTAACTGACACCTTCAGGAACCAGCCCTTGGACTTAGGGCCACCCTAATTCCAGTCTGTTCTCATCCTGTCAAGGTGATTGTTAATGTAATGACCCTGACGAAGATCCTGTTTTACGTAAGGTCACAACCAGAGGTTCTAGGCAGGAACAGATATTTTTAAAGGCCAGATGGCATTCTACACTCTGCAGTTATGTTCTTCTGACCTATTAGTTTTTCAGTGCTGGGAATTGAACCGAGGGTCTTGCACATGCTAGGCAAGCACTCCATCATAGAGCTACAGCCTCGAGACCTATTCATTCTCCACAAATGCTGACACCATACTCCCATGACTAACTTTAGCTCTGGGGTGTGTCTTCATGTCAGCAAATACCCCACTTAGCTCTCTTTCAAAATAATATGAAGACTACGCTTTTCAACACTTGGAAATTATAAGTCCCATGCACATTGATTGTACCTGTTGACGGACTTCACTGTGACATTCCACACACTCATCTCTGTGTTACCTGGGCTCTCTCCTCCCTTCCTGGCTGGGATCCACCCACACTGTTGGGGTGGCTTCTCTACCGCTTTCAGGATATTGTTACTTTTAATGCCAGCCTCTATGTGTGAGAGACAGTATGGAATACTTGAGGTGGGTTTTGTTGTTGTTTTTTTCCCCCTTTTGTAGCTAGAGTTTTCCTGCCTTGCCCACAGTCAGGACAAATCTTTGTCACCTTCCAGTCCCATAGCTTCTCAGACCCAACCAAGTAAACACAGAGACTTATATTGCTTACAAACTGTATGGCCGTGGCAGGCTTCTTACTAACTGTTCTTATAGCTTAAATGAATCCATTTCCATAAATCTATACCTTGCCACATAGCTCGTGGCTTACTGGCATCTTCACATGCTGCTTGTCCTGGCAGCAGCTGGCAGTGTCTCTGACTCAGCCTTCCACTTCCCAGAATTCTTCTCCTCCTTGTCCTGCCTATACTTCCTCCTGCCTGACTACTGGCCAATCAGTGTTTTATTTACTAACCAAACAGAGCAACACATTTGCCATTCAGAACATCCCACAGCACTTCCCTTTTTTTTTCTTTCTTTCTTTTTTTTTTTTTTTCAAAAAGGAAGGTTTTAACCTTAACAAAGTAAAATTACATATAATTTGGGAGTTTGGGGGTAGCTTCTCTTACTACTTCCTGCTGGAGGGGGTGCTGTATCTTATGGGGACACAAAGAAAATTTTAGGATTATGGAATAGTCCATGAGGCTGTATTGTCTGAGCCAGTTGCCTTGAATCCCATCTGGACGTTGAACAAGTGTGATGCCTTCTTTGACCCCTCTGGGTATCTGAAACATGTTTATTTTATAATCCTGTGAGATTCCATGCCTAATAAATTTTTTCTTCACCCTGAGTGAAGGTTCTTAGAGTCTTAACATTCAATGTACTTATTGACTCTTACTTAGTATTAATTTTTTTCATGTTCTGCTGTTTTATGGGTGGAGTTTACTTATTAAATTTTTTATTAATTATTTGAGTATCATATATATATATATATATATATATATATATATATATATATATATAAAGAATTTTGATCACATTCACTCTCCCTTCCACTTCAGCTCTTCCTGGATCCTCCCAAAGGCTCCCTCCTACTTTCACGGCTCTTTTTAAATTAATGAGTCTATTCAGGGCTGTCCATATGTGAATGGATATGGGACCATCCACAGGAGCATGGTTGACATACTAGAGGGCCACACCCCTGAAGAAAACTGGTTCCTCCTTCCCAGGAGTCATTAGCAGCCAATAGATCCTCACCTAGGCAGGGGTGGAGTGGTGGTGGTGGTGGTGGTGGTAGTGGTGGTGGTGTGAGACATACGGGGACCTGCACCCCTCCCCAACTCGAGCTGGTGTGTTGACTGGCCTGATCTCATGTAGGTGTTGTGCAGTCAACAGCAGCTGCTGTGACTCCTGAGGGCAGCCGTCCTGTGGTGTCCAGAAGACACTGTTTCTTCAAGAGTCCCTTTTGACCTCTGGCTCTTATACTCCTTCCATCCCTTCTTCAGTGTTCCCTGAGCCTTGGCGCGGGGGAGGGGGGGCGCTATGATGTGAAAGTCTGATAGTTTATTCACAAACTCAATAATAATATCAAACTTGGAGCTCACAACCTGGGCTCTGATCCGGGTCTGCCCACCCATCCTCAGTTGGCCAGGCAAAAGGGTCGAATGAGTAGCGGAGAGTAGAAAAGAGATTTATTCAGAGTGGCCACATTGGGAAGAGGGACAGAGAGCCAGTGAATCACTCAAGTGAATCTTTAGGCTCCTGGTGTGAGGCTGCAGTTTGAGGAGGTCTGTCCAGGCATATGCCCATCCAGGCAGCTCCTGCCAAGGTGCGGTCTCCCCCGCCTCTGAGCTGGTCCCACCCTGTGAAGTGGTCTGCCTGGCTCTTAGAACTGTGTGCAATCTCCTTCCAGAAGACAAGCTCCCCCTCTGGCTGGGGCCTTCTCCTTCTTCCAGTGTGAGATTCTTGGGGACAGTCTCATTTCTTGGGGGCTCACCATTATGAGACTGAGGGCACAGTGTATGTACTCTTAGCTTCATTTCTGTCCAGCTGGTCCCAATAGTAAATCTGAGTTTCTTTTGGTTTTGGTTGTGACCTTTTTTTTCCTTCTTCTTCACTCTTTTGGTCTCTGTAACATTTTTTTTCCCCTGTTGCTTCTACCTGGTCACATGGGCATCTTGGTAGAATTTGCACTTATAATTGTTTGTTACGTGTGAGTGTGTGTATGATGTGTGGGCCGGTATACATGCATATGTGTGTGTGTGGAAGCCAGAGTCCAGCCTTTGGTGTCTTTCTCCATTGCTCTCCAACTCGTATTTGGAGGCAGGGTCTCTCACTGAACCCGGAACGCACCTATTCTGTTCGATTAGCTGTCCAGCAAACCCCAGAAGCCTTTCACCTCCACCTCCCCAGTGCTGGATCATGGGCTTTGACAGCCAGGACCGGCTTACGTGGGTCCAGATTTGAATTCAGGCCCTCAATCTAATGCACCACACACTTCAATGGTTGAGCTGCTCCCCCACCTCCCACCCCCTTTCTTCTTTTTGAGACAAAAGTCTTACAGGCCTGGCTGGCCTGGGACTTGTTTTGTAGACCAGGCTGACTTCAAACTCACAGAGATCTACCTGCCCTGGCTTCCTGAGGGCTGGCCAACTCTTGTCAATTAATGACATCAAAGACATCATGGCCTAATTACAGAGACAGCGGGAGTGAGAGGACCTTGGACAGCTGCTGAGTGTCTTTGATCCAGCTACCACCAGACTTGCTTACCCTAGAGACTCTAATAAAGCTAGTAAAGACTCTAATAAAGCCACCGCATAGGATAGTAAGTAGGCTTTCCCCCCACTCAGGCCCATGTGTGAATTGCACACCATATCCCCATCCTGATGTGGGTCAAAACATAAGCCTTCCCACCCCACCTCCCTGGGGGCACATGAAATGACCTGGCCAACGCTATTGGAGCTAGGGTGGTGGGGGTGGTTTTGTTGTGGTTGTTAGGATGTGGTTGATTCAAGTCCATTGAACCCATAATTGTTTATTGCAGCCTGCTATGTTTGCTTGGCCAGATTTGGGGTTGGAATATTGCAACAGGGCATTCTTAAGGCATGCAGACGCTCCTAATAAGGCAAGGAAAGACCTGCATGGTTAACCCTCCCCAGGCTGCACTCTGCAAGTCCCTGCAGCTTTAAGAAGGTTGCTGGTCCTTAGCCCTGTGCAACCTCCCTGCTGAGAGTTTACTCCTCCAACAGGCAGACAGACCCCCATAAGCAGCACTATTCTCCACCCAGCAGCTCTGCTCACACTTCAGAAGGGCCTGCTTAGAGCTGTGGGCAGGCCAGTGACTATCTTAGCAGAAGCACTCAGAATAGCGGTGGAGGATAGGGGCTTGGATTTGGGATTTTTATTTTTAGCACAGAGATGTGTGTTGGCTTGCTGGGGCTGCTATTGAGAAGCACCATGGGTTGGGCAGTATAAACAAGCAGATATTCATTTGCACCTAGTCCTGGAGGATGGAGGCAAGGCTCCTTTCTTCCAAGGCCTCTCTTCTTGGGTTGCAAATTGTCATCTTCCCAAGATCTTTAATGCAGCATATATTTCTGGGATCTCTGTGTGTCCTAATTTCTACACTGATTTTTGTTTGTTGGTTTGTTTGGTTGTTTGTTGGTTTGTTTTTGAGACAAGGCCTTGGTGTAGCCCACACTGGCCTT